CTGCTGCTGCCGGGTGCGTGCGCGCGGCTCATGGTGCCGCTGCCGCGCGGTGCGTGCGTGCAGTGCTGCTGCCGCGCAGTGCGTGCGCACGCCTCAGGGTGCCGCTGCCATGCACGCGCCTCATGGTGCTGCTACCGTGCTGCTGCCTGGCGGTGCGTGCTGCGCGCCATGGTGCCGCTGCCGTGCGGTGCCGAGCGTGTGCATGGTGCGTGCTGCCGTGCAGTGCGGCGGTGCGCACTGCTGCCTGGCGATGCGTGCTGCGCACTATCGGCGGTGCATGTTGCAGTGCTACCAGGCGGTGCCCACTGTTGTGCGGCTGCTGCCTATGACTACGCCGCGGTGCCTTGTCGGATGGTGTGACCATAACATTCCTAAATTTAGCACAAATTTACTTTCTTTTAGAAATATTACTAAAGCTCCTCAGGACATTGATTCAAAGAAGGCGATTGGGAGTGGCCGTGAAGTGGATGGTGTTTATATTTTGGATGTTATGCCCTCAACTGTTGTTGCCATTAGTCCTACTCATCATGGTCAAAGTGTTACCCCTGAGTCTTTTGATAGAATAATGCTTTGGCATATCCATCTTGGCCAATTGTCATCTCTTTCTTTGAAGTCTTTATTTCCTTCAATGTTTGAGTTGGTCAGTTTGTCTAGTCTTCAATATGATGATTGTCGACTACTCAACTTTCAGAGCATTGTAGACACTCTTATGATTTAAGTTATAAAATATGTGCTTCTTCTTTTGATCTTATACATACCAATTTATGGGTGCCTTGTCATGTTCCTTGTATGAGTGGATATCATTACTTCTTATTATTTGTGGATCTCGTTTTTCATGGGATTAGTTGATGCATTTTAGAGATGAAGCGCCACGCCATGTTCAACAGTTTCATCGAATGATACTCAGTTGAAGTTTCCATTCTGATAATGTGAAATAGTATTTTGAAGAGAAACTTGCATCCAATTTGAATTCCTATGGTATTGTTCATCAGAGTTCTTGTGCCTACAGCCCTCAACAAAACGGGGTTGTAGAATGTTCATCACACAGGTGGCTAGTGGCATTATGTTTAGTAGTCATGTTCTTATATGTTATTGGGTTGATGTCATTCACACTATTGTGCTGATTCCATCTCGTATACTTAACTTCAAGATACCTTTTAGTTTAGTTTATTCCAGTGATGGTGTCTTTCCCATTCCTCTCTGTGTTTTCGGTTGCACCTGTTTTGTCCACATCCTTGGTCCTCACAAATCTAAATTTAATACCAAGTCAGTTAAGTATCCTCTTGGTATGCATCAAATCAAAAGGGGTATCGTTGTCTTAATCCCATCAATGGTAAATGTTTTCTTTCTATGGATGTTACCTTCTTTAAGTCTGTTCCTTTTTTTCCAGGGAAGACTAGTCAGTTACCTACATCTCTACTTTTTGTCTCCTACACCTGTTGTGTCTCATCATCTTTCTGTTCCTATTGTCAGTCCTGGTGATGGCATGTTACAACTGTATCAACGAAGGAACACGTAACCCCCTACTTATCAACCACCTCCTATCTCTTCTGATGATGCAAGTTCTGAAGATCCACCTATCCCTATTGTTGTTTCCCCTCCACCTGCTTTACCTACACCCCCATCTGACCTTTCTTTTTTCTTTGATAGATAACTGAAAGATTGCATTAATTAAGAGGAATTAGGAAGATTACAAGGCTCACAATCAAAACCATCCCCAATATGAAGTTAAAGAGTACAAATTAGCCCAATGTAGGTACTCCCCCATCATCCCTTGCTTTGCTTTGTCTGTGAAAGCATTTGCAGACCTGTTAACCCACTTGAAAGTAGCTTCTACCTTATTTGCTAGCCTTCTAATCTCCCTTGTCACTTAACACCTAGGGGCCATCACTTTGTTTTAATAACCATCCCATCACCAGCTGTGAGTCACCCCCAACCTCTATCTGCTTCAAATTCACCTGTCTTGCAAACTTTAAGCCTTGTAACGGGGCTGAAATTTCAGTTGTCAACAAATTGTTGCTCCAATAGAGACAGAATAGAGTGCCAATAACCCTTATGACCTGTTTGCACCCCCATCTGACCTTGATTTACATATTGCTCTTCGTAAGGGTAAGCACTCCCCTACTGCTCATAGTATTTCTCGCTATGTTTCTTATGATCAGTTGTCCCCTGCTTACAAGTCTTTTATTGCATCCATCTCATCTATTTCTATTCCAGGGAATAAGACTGAAGCAGCAAGACAACCAAAGTGAAAAGCTGCTATGCAGGAAGAGATGAATACTTTATTGAAGAATGATACATTGGATGCTATGACACTGGTTGAGGGGAAATAAGCACAGGAAAGAGGAAGTATTGAAAGGTATAAGGCAAGTTTAGTAGCAAAGGGGTATATTCAAATTTATGGGGTGGATTATGAGGAGACCTTTTCTCCAGCAACAAAAATGACCTCTGTTCGAGTTCTTTTGTCACTTGCTTCCCATTTCTCTTGGCCTCTAAATAAGGGGTCTTCATGAGAGTTTATATGGATATTCCACCTTGTTTTTACAATGACTTGCCTAGGGGGAGTGTGTGTAAACTCAAGAAGTTGTTGTATGGGCTTAAGCAGTCTCCCTGTGCTTGGCTTGATTTATTTTGTGGTACCTTACCAAAGGTTGGATATTCTCAATCACAATCTGATCATACCTTGTTTATCGAGAGTCTAGAAGAGAGGCTTACATGTTGATTGTTTATGTTGATAATATTGTTCTCACTGGGAATGATGAGAAGGAAATTGCTAAACTCAAGCAGTTTTGGGGGACAAGATTTGAGATTAAAGATTTTGGTTTCTACCAAAAAGAAGATTAAAGATTTGAATGAGATAAGATTTTTTTGGGCATTGAGGTAGCTTGATCCTATCATGGTATTTATATTTCTCAGCGAAAGTATGCACTGGATCTTCTGAAAGACAAGGAAACTAGGAGTGAAACCAGTTGAAACTCCTAAGTCCTATTGACCCCAATGATAGGACTAATGCCACTAAGGAGCTTCTTGTAGACCGTGATATGTATTAGAGGTTGGTTGGTATGCTGTTATACATGTGTGTGACTCGACTTGACATAGCATACTTTGTGAGTGTGGTGAGCCAATATATGCATTATCCCCATACCACTCATCTAGCAATTGTGTATAGATCCTTGCATACCTGAAGGGGTGTCTAGGAGGGGTGATTTTATTCTCCAAACATGATCAGTTATACTGTAGAGGTCATTACAAATGCAAATTAGGCAAGATCTCTTGATGATAGGAGATCTACCTCAAGTAACTATGCCTTGCCTTTTGTTGGGGGAAATTTGGTATCATGGAAGTGCAAGAAGCAGTCTATGGTGGCTCACTCTATTGCTAAAGATGAGTATATGTCTATTACACATGGATTACCAAAAGCACTCCAGCTACACAGTTTGCTAAGAGAGTTGGATATTAGTGGGAGTCTCCTCTTGTTTTGTATTGTGATAATAAGGCAGCAATTAACATTGCCCATAACCCAATACAGCATGACCGCACCAAGCATATTGAGATAGACTATCGCTTCATTAGAGAAAAGGTGTTGTCTGGGGAAGTTTGCCTCCCCAATGTGAAGACAAATCAACAGTTGATAGGTGCTTTTATAAAGGGGATTTCTCAACTGAAGTTACAAGACTCACTTAGCAAGTTACTCATTAAAAAAAAGACTCACTTAGCATGTTGGGAATGTTAGACATTTAGTCCCAACTTGGCGGGGAGTATTGACTGTCAGCTTACTTGTAATTGGGTCTGTTTTCTTTCTTTCTTTTAATTTATTGTTTTTTATGAATTCTTTTAATGTATTGTTAATGGGCTTGAATGAGTATTTAGGCCCACAATCTTTTTAGTTTTATTGTTGTCACCCTTAATTAAGGGTATAATTGTGAATTCTTATTTCTTTAAGTTCATATATAATCTAATCGGGAGAATACCTCCCCACGATCTATGTTCCCTTCTCCCAAACTCTTATCTCTTTTTTTCATCTTTTTTCACCTTCTGTTTTGGCCCTAACTTCCTTCTTCTAAATCCCATTTGTCTCACTTTTAAATTTTTCAAGGGCTGATATCAACCTACTAGCACATCTGACACATACAGGTTCAGGATGCATAAAAATGTGCCTTGATGGGATTCTCGTGTACACCTTAAAGCAAAAGAATGCCGGTACAAGAAAGTATTTTATAACACTGGCAATAGGATTCATTGATCAGTCCCTCCCCCTTTTGCCATTATGATTGAATAAAATAAAAAGTCATTGAAGATTGACTTACTTTAGCATCATACTCTTTAAATACTTCCCATCTGGGTGCAATAACAATATCCAAGACATTCAGTGAGTATGTAAAGCCCAAGAAAATTCCGTGTGCATGGACATCAATTAGAATTCTAATTACATTCACTAATGAAATGATTCTCAAAGCAAAATGATTCAGTCAAAAACAACAACTTAAACAATCACTAAGACATGTGTTACACCTTCCAAAGAAATGCCACCACCCCCATTTGAGCCACAACTCTCAGATCCACCTTCATGATCAGAGTAAATAAGGATAACAATCACCACTAAAACATAGATGAAACTTAACCTCAATACCATCCCGAATTCCACAAATCCAGATGCATGTTTTGTACCAATAAACATTGCCACTGACTACCAGTTTAACAGAATCCCTCTTCTCAGAGACAAAACTCTTACTGTTAGCATAATAACATCTGAAATCATTATGGATACTCCCCTTTTTGGACCAACACCCAACTTGCTACTTGTTTCAAAATTAAAAATGTAACTCTTCCAATTTTTGTAATCCCCATTGGTGTATTTGATACCTAGGACTTCTTCCATCAGCTTGACCATCCATTACTATACTACCAACACCAAAGCAGGAAAAAAAAGGAACATCAATAGAACCTACAACAACATGTATATTCAAAGATTAACCTCTATTAACTCTGTCAACCATGGGACATTAACCCTCATATGTTGCTTAAACATATACCATTCTCAGCACCTGTTTTTCTGATACACCAAAAGTTAGACCTAAATAGATGCACCATTGAACGGAACCTAAAAGTCAAATGAGATGAATTAAGATCGGAACTTGATATCCATCTGAGTTTGAATGGGGCCCTATGGTGCCTCTCAACCTTGTTGTGATGACACGCATGGATTGATCAATTGTGCAGTTATTGAAATCATCAAGTTCTTCATAAAATGGGAAATAGTAGTACTGCATTGTTTACATACACTGCATAGAGATAACTAGAAACCAACTTGCTTTGAGGTTTTATAATGGAACATTTCTATCAAAGCATAAGGAGGGAAGATGAACAGGCTAGTCATTACATGATAAAGATGTTCTCAGAAGAAGATAAAAGACTAGAAAAGGGATATTTTCATGGAATAGCCTCATGGATTGGGGGGACAGGGACTAGTAAAGTAACTGGTGTAGTTCAAATTAAGAGCAATGACGGAAAGAATATATTGCAGCTAATTAGTGTAAACATGGTGGATGCTACTACTATTCCAGTTAAATCTGCCACAGACCAGCTAGAGTCAGCATTGTCAAAGTCCTTACAAATTGTCTCTAGCTGCCGGTGGATGAACAAAAGAACCTCTATTTTCCTTGTGTTGCAAATATCCGCAAGGGGTCTGCTGTATATCTTTAAAATGGACCAAAAAGCAATAGAATTATCGATACAAGTTGGAGTTTTCTTTTTTATTATCTCTTCTGATTCGAATGTGCGCTCATTCTAACTAATCCAAAAACAATTCGCACGCCACCCCCCCCCCCTCATCCTCTTTTTTTTTCCTATTTTTTTGAATAACAACCCATGATTCATTAACCAGTTCCCCTATCAATCCTCTCATTTTATCACCTGACCCAAATTGAAGGTTGTCGTTTCCAATATCGTTGATCAAATTCAAACGCCAAAACACGGACAATATCAGTTATCACAATTCAATAAGAGTCACCTTGTAATTTGGCGGGAGGATATATTTCAAGAGCTTCCAACAATCTCAGTTCCAATTCAACCTGCGATTGCTCCTACGAGAAAATAAACATAACGGAAATAGTAAGACGATAAGCTACCCAACCTGAAAGAGTGAACTGGAAGGGGGGAATGAAGCGACCTTGGGGAGAGAAGACGCTGATGAAGGTGGAGCTTGACCTGGAGAGTGTACGGACATACCATCTTGTTCCTCTTCTTCGCCTGCAGGTTCCATTGTCACTTTCTATGGCGGACGGTGGATCAAATTTTAACCGAAATACCTAGAAAGAAAAACTTTTGGTTTTGGAGCGACTGAGAAATCAAAGCATTTTCCAGCTTCCACTACGCTTTTGCTAGGGTTTTACGGTTAATCGCTGACCGAGTGAGCCGGGAAATGCTAACGAAACTCCAATTCCAAATCGTGGCCGCTCCCACGAAATCAAAGCCTTCGATGAATTGTTGTAGCCCCACCTCAAATGAGATGAAGAGCCGTCGTGGTGGGACCGCAACAATACGGAAGGCCACGATTCACGGTGACACACGTCATCTACGAGAGTTTTCTATGTCAATATGCATTGTCGAATCTTTGCGAGTGAACCAATGAATCTACGATGCAGTTGATTCACGCCTTCACGGTGCATCAACTGCACCGTATTTAATTGCTAGTACGTATTTATGAGGCAAAATCTTAGGCCCTGTTTGGATAAATTTCGTATAAAAGTATAAAAAACATTACATGGTGTTTGGATGGCATACTTTCTCTCTTGGCTTTCATACCTTTTAAAAGCATAAAACCCCCAAAAGCACGAAGTCTACTTTTATTACTCCATGCTTTTTGGGAAGTTTTGCTTCCATTTCGTGTAAAGGGTGATAACGTGTGAAGTTTTGTTTCCATTTCGTGTGGTCATTCTTCAAGTAAAACCCGTCGATAAGGTTGTTCATAAGAAGACCCAACCCAACTAAATCGACCAATCTGGACCGATCCAACCCGAGTTGGCTGGGTTTTCATCAGCATGGGGCGGTTTCGGGTTGTGCAAATTCCCAAACCGATATTCGGGTCGGTTTTGGTTTTCATACAAAAAAATTGAAACCGACCAAATCGAACCAACTTAGTTCCTAGTTCAAACATGAAGTTCCAAAGCCCATTAGGCCACTTAGTTTTTGATTTGTTGCAAGAAACTTTGGATTAGTGAATAGTGATTAATAAACAGCTTTTGTGATTAACTTTTCATTTAAATTTTATCATAGGAGATGGCTGAAATAATGTTCAATTTATGACTGTTTTTAAAATTAGCAAGATTTTATCACGGGGATGAACTTAAAACCGAAACCGACCCAAACCAACCCAACCCGACTCAAACCGACCAAGTCGGTTTTGCTTAACACTGGGTCGGTTTCGGTTTCTATGTCAGATAACCCGACCAGGTCGGGTCGGTTGGAAAAACCATAGTAAACCGACCCAACCCGACCCGTGAACAGCCCTACTTGTCGATCGAAACTCCCCCACCCCATTCGCTTGTCATTTTCAAGCCCTAACCTCTTAGCTGTTATAGGGTTCTTGCTCCACCATCGCCCATCTATGGCCACCATTACCACAAGCGATCACCGCCAGAAGCACAATTCTCATTGGAATCGTAGGTATGGATCATGGTTTCATATTTCCTCCATTTCTTTTAATGTTTTCTCCATTTCATGCTATATCTTCAAACTTAATGGTATGTTTATTGCATGTTTACTGCCACTAGAATTATTGTCGTCAATTTCTTCATTTCTTAACTATTCTTGAAGTTTAATGAAATGTTTGTATAGCTTGTTTACTATAACATTACATATAGTATTATACCTGTACAAAACCACTTTGTTTCCTAAACGAAGTGTTAATTCTAAGTGGTTGCCACGTGTACATGATGACTAATAATGGCCATCATGTCTACACATGGCATGTGTATGTATCTTCGGTGTATACAAGTGGCTAATCATGGGTAATGTCACCTTTGTCATGTATAAAATCAGATGAATCACATGAGACTGGTGGGACGCTTCTGCTAAACAGAAAATGGTATTTCTGTTTTGGAAAGCATGTTTTTCAAAATTTTTTACCCAAACGATTTTCAAAGCAAAAATGCCAAAGTAAAAGTTGTATTTGTACTTTGTACTTCCCTACTATTAAAAGTATAGTACAAAAGTAGAATTCTACCCAAACATAGCCTTATATTTTGTAATCTTTTCAAATTGAGCCCAAGGCTGTGTTTGGTTGGGTTGCAAACTTATTTGCATTGATGCAAAACTATGGTAGTGTAAATGTTTTTCGTGCAAATAATGATTTATTTTTATTTCAAACTTTACTTTATTTTGTTTGATTGTGGTAAAAATGAAATAAAACAAGTCATGAAGAAGAATAAAGTAAAACCCAAAACAAAATTAAACCAAAATTTGCATTTTTTTCAATTGCACTCCCATACATTTGTACTAGTGCAAATAAAATTGCGCTGTAACCAAACACAGTTGTTTAGTTGCAGTACAATTTTATTTGCACTAATACAAAAGCATAGGAGTGCAAATGAAAATAATGCAATTTTTAATTTAATTTTGTTTTGGATTTAATTTTATTATGCTTTAGATCTGATTTTACTTCATTTGTATTGTAATAAAAGAAAATGAGATAAAATGTCAAACAAAAATAAAGCAAAATTTACATTGGAAACATTTGTACTACTATAATTTTGCATCAGTACAAATTTATTTGCACTACAACCAAATAAAGTATAAGTAACACATTTAACAATAAACATTGTTAAAGTTTGGATGGTAATTAAGGGGATGTTTGGAACCATGGTCGTTTAAAAAATAAAAATAGTGCCACGTCGGATCCATATAGGCGTTTCAACAAACGCCCATATATCTCATTGTTTGGTTCAGCCGATTATTAAAAAATTGGGCATGTCTCGAAAATTGAGACCCCATCGATTTGGCGTTTCATGCATCGGCGAATCATTTCCCCCCAACGGTTGACTGGTGTGTATCCTATGTTGTGCTTACCTGTCAGCACATACATAAAATTACCTTACCAAACAACATAGTATTGCTCACTACTTACGTGACGGAAGCGTTTTTTTGTGAAAAACGGGTCTTGGAAGCATGGGCATTTTTTTTCTTAAAAATATGTATCAAAAAGCGCTCACGCTTCCAAACACCATGTAATTAATTAATCTTGTTTAACATGAGCCAATAAACAGTAAGTAAACCATGTAACATATTTCACGGGATTAGTTAAATCATTGATTTAACGTGTAATAAATATTAGTGAATGCATCCTAATTGGACTCTTAATTTTTGTATTAGTCAACGAAAAATTGTTTTAGAATTACGAAAGGTTTTGAGAAAGAAAATAATAAAACGTTACTAATAATTATTTTATAGTGTTTGATCACTAATTATGACTTATCATATAGGATAAATAAAATAAAGGGAGAATGAAAGTTCAGCTCAGGGCCAGAATTTGTAGGTTCAAAGTACATTTTGGGTAGGTGCCAGCTCGAAATTGATGTCAATTTACAGGTAGACCTGTTCATGGGCCGGGTGACCCGATAGGCCGGCCCGACCCCAGATGGGCTTGAATAGGCTTTTTGGCTCGCGGGCTTAACCTCGAGCCAAAAAGCCTGGCCCGCATAAAATTCGAGCCGGGCTCGGGCTTTGCCAAAATAGCCCGGCCCGAGCCCGGCCCGGCCTGACCTATAGTTAAACCTAAGTAAAAACCCTATGTGATGTCTATTTGAATAAATTTTTTGATTTGAGGTCATTGATTCACTTGAAGGCCCATTGTTCATTCAAATAGGGGAAAAAACATTTAAATTAAAATAGAAAATGTCGGAAAATTTTGAATTTCTTTTATTAGGTCGGGCTTCAGGCTTTTTATCAGGGCCGGACTCGGGCCCAAGTTGTAGGCCCGTTGGTCGGGCCGGGCTCAGGCTCGGGCCTAACAGTTTTCTATTAATAAAGAGTCAAAGCCCGACCCGGCCCATGAACAGGTCTATTCATAGGTGAATATGAGTGCATGGAGTGTAGGTCTTTGTCTTTTTAAATGTTTATAATTTTGTATAAGGCCTCTCCGTACATCTCCTCAAAACAAATGATTATATATAACTGATGTTTATATTAAAATAGACAAAAAGACAAAGAAACAGGACAGAAAAATATTCTTTGTAAATAGCTTTATTTTATGTTTGCAATTTAATGTGGCATGTAATTTTACCATGAAACCAATATAAAGAGTGTAGGCTTCAATGAGAGAGAGAGAGAGAGCAGTTGGGCCCAAATTCATTAAAATCCACATGGGCCCACTCTAGGTTTAGGATTGGCTAACTTGGGCTTGGACCTCGATCCGGGTCTAGTCTTGAAGGACATGTAGTTGGGTTTGGGTTGGTCATCAACCCTCACCCAACCTTTCCAATTTATACACTTGCTTCATTAGAAAGAGTTATGAGATTTGAAATGATTGCGATATGTCTGAAAAAAAAAAGGTTAAAAAGGGATGGGATGGGGAAACGGAAAGGCTACAAACATTTGACTATTTTGGTGCAGAGGTTTAACAAGTTCCAATGTGCCTTTCAAGATTTATATCCTTTTCGTAACTAAAACGCCCATAAAGATGCAACGAGGTATTTCATTTTTATCGTGTATTTATTATACACCATAAGTAATAATTATCAAGAAAAAAGTGCTATTATATATATATATATATATATATATATATATATATATATATATATATATATATA